TGGTCAAAAAAAATAAACGAATTGATATAATATTCTAAGATACTACCAGTATCCCAAATTTTTGCTTTGATAGTTTTATTATCTATTTGAATATTCTTGGTCTTAAATTCAACACCAATAGTAGGTTTGGACTCCAAATCGAACTCATTACAAGTTAAACGTGAAAGAAGATTAGATTTACCGACTCCAGAGTCACCAATTAAGACAACTAAAAAAAAAAGAAATTAATCTAATATTAGGTGGAGCGTCATCTATGACAGATCTACGAATTAGTTTTTTTTTTTTTAAAAAAAAAAACTCGGTAAATTATAACTATATAACTTTGATAATTTGTAGAAATAAAATGATTTTAAACAATGGCAATGGCTTTTGGTGTTATCAAGAAAATAGTACACAGCGATTAACTCAAGAACGAACCAGATGAGGGAATTTTCGTATACTCATATTTGTTCGTATTCCTTAACCATAAAAAAAAACTATGCATATACCTTTAAAAAGGTAATCACATCCATTGTTGTTACTCGTTTTAACATTACCGTTACTAGATACTTTACTCATCTTATCATTACTAGATACGTTATTCATCTTATCATTCCTAGATACGTTATTTATCTTATAATTACTAGATAAGTTATTCATCTTATAATTACTAGATACTATATCACCATTACTAGATACAATACGATATATTTCTGAAAGATGGAATGTTATAGTAATGAGATAAAAAAATAGCAATAAATTAGTAAGCTAAAACAAAGCAAAATTACCGGTTAATAAGTTTTGGAAAGCAAGTTCTACGTTACTAGCATCCAAGGCAGAAGTTTCGACGAAAGAAAAATCGTTTTCCACTTATAGTATTTGTATGGCATGAAAATATTTAATACAATGACAGTAAAAAAATAAAAAATAAAAAAACAAGCTAACGGATATTAATATAAACATACATGAAAATTTCATGGCTTCGTCAATAGGAACTGCTCGAAAATGTCTTAAATCACTCTTATTTCCGACAAGCATAACGACAATATTACTGTCAGCATAATCTTTTAATTCTTTCAACCAGCAATTGATGCTTTTATATGTTTTATATTTGGAAATATCATAAACAAGTAAAGCACCAACGGCTCCACGATAATATCTGTAAAAATTGTCGCAAAATGTAAAATTTAGATTATATCTAAAATGTTGAGTTGGCGCAACCGGATAAAAATTACTTACGCGCTTTTAATCGCTCTATAGCGCTCAAGACCAGCTTTTGGGAGATAATCAATTATCAGAATCATGGTCAAAAAGAATAAACGAATTAATATATATAATATTTTATATAATATTTTACAATTACTACCAATATCCCAAATTTGTGCTTGGATATTTTTATTATCTACTTTAATACTCTTGATATTAAATTCGACACCGAGAGTAGATCTGGACTCCAAATTGAACTCATTACGAGTGAAACGTGAAAGAAGATTGGATTTTCCAACCCCCGAGTCACCACATAATACAACTAAAAAAGAAATCAATCTAATATTAGGTATATATATATAAACGATAAAATACAAAATTGTATGACTTTGATCATTTGTAGAAATAACATAATGATTTTAAACTAATGGCTTTCGGTGTTATCAAACAAATAGTATAGAAATTGACCCAATAATGAACCAGATGAGAGAATTTTCTTATACGCATAGTTGTTCATATTTCTTAACTATAAAAAACACCATGGCCATACCTTTGAAAAAATAATCATATTCATTTTTGTTGCTCATTTTGAAATTATAAAAATTAAATAATGATGAAAATATAAAAAGCTTCAACGGTTTAACGATAAAACGAAGTTACCATTAAGTGTTGCCAAGGGGAAAACCTGTCATCAGGCTTTCAATGTTCAGTTTGTTTACTGAGTGTCGTCTAGGGAAAATCTATCATCGGGCTTCCAATTATATTTTGTGGCGAGTTGTTACAAACTACAGGTGACCCTCGTTAATATCAACCTATTTAAATTGGCTTTAAATCATGTTGGTAGTGATATTAATGAGAAATCATATTAAGTTGATATGTAGGATTTTTACTAGGAAATGACCCTCCGAGGCTATGTTGATTTTGTGAATAGAAATTAAATATGCCAGCCATCTAGTCATCCAATTCGAATGATCTTTATTTTTATTTTTATTTTTATTTTATTTTTATTTATATTTTATTTTATAGAGCTTATTTAGCTTTACAAAATAAAAAAAAAATTTATTAACTAGATCAGTGTTATCACGGGACAGCTCTGACAATTATGAACAATTTTGAACAAAAATACAAATCAAAATTACTCAAAATTTTATTAAGATAACTATTAATCTTTTAAATAAAAATATTCAGAACTATAAAAAATATATAATCATATCTTTTTTAAACTAATTTATTAAATTTTAAAGCCTAAATATTCTTTAGACAATTGTGAATACTGTGAATGTTTGAACGTGAACATAGGCAAAAAAAGTCTTGGACACAGTAGACGTGACAACACTGAACTAGATGGTTGGCAAATTTAATTTTTATTTACAAAATCAACATAGCCTTGGAGGGTCATTTTCTTAGCAAAGATCCCAATATATGAGGGAATTTTGATACATAAAATTTTATAAAAATTTGGTTTGTGGCTTAGGTTGATATTAACGAGGTTGATATTAACGGAGTCACCTGTATAATTAAAAGCCCGATGATACATTTTCCCTAGACAACACTTAGTAAACAAACTGACATTGAAAGCCTGATGACAGGTTTTCTCTTGGCAGCACCCATTGATAGATTTTTTTATATCGAATTCGACACTAGACACTAAGGTAGGTGCGTACGGCGCAGAAATCTAAAAACCACAATCCCTTTGCGGTGTTGCATAGCTAAATGGCATGAAAGACGTTGTGTAAACTAAAAAGGGAAAACGTATAGTATACATATGTGTATAAAATAAAAAAGCGTATAGTATACATATATGTATAAAAAATTTTGAGTCGGTTATACTAGTGGTTATACTATTTTATATGGGCATATGAATTTTTTAACAACCGTAAAGATGGCTTGTCCACGTGATATGCGATAATTAATTTAGCTTACGTCGCATAGAAAAAATGGTAGATGGACAAATTTGCCAGTTTCGGATATTGACATTCGGTAATAATAATTGAATCATTTTAAATGAATTTTTTATGTTGTTAAACGTTAGACGTCACTTTCAAATTTCTGTCAACATTGTAAATACTGTAACGTATGTCATTTTAATCGGTATAATGATAATAAACAAACATAAAAATTAAACATAGTATATCGAGAAATCCCGGACGTAAACCGAAAAAACCCGACTGCTATGCTGGCGATCAAATTTTCATTTCTATTTGTTTAATTTTTGGGGGAACCCGGAAGATGGAGGGGGGGATAACGTTAAACGAAGTTTCAACTTCAAGCGGCCTTAGCGTGTTACCTTTTTAAAGTAAATTTTAATAGTGCAAGTAAATGTAATTAATTAAATATTGATATAATAAACATCGATGTAAAATTAAATTTAGCATAAAGAAATAAGGACTTTATAATTTATCGCTATAGCTACCCGGGTCTATGTCAAATCAAAATCCCGACACTTAATTGTCGCATAACGTGATGTCGGTGTTCAATATTCAAACTCCGCTTATAATTAGTACTCTATAGTTCTGAATGGAGCCAATGGATACTACTTTTTGAGCTCCATTCGCATAACCATTGGGCTCCATTGGCTCCATTACACAACGTGATAATGGCGATAAAAAAAATTCCAAATAATAATAAATTAATACATAATTTAATTTTCATCCCTCCCCCCCTTATAAATACGAAAAAAAATAACGTTAAACGAGGTTTTAATTTCAAGTCGCCTAAGCTAGTAAGAAATAGTACAAGAAATTTTTAGAAGAATATTTAGCATAAGAATAAACATAATGATTTTTGCATCTACCTTGATAAATACAATTTGGAAGTACTTGGGTATTTTTCTGACAAAAACGGCACTTTCGCAATGTTTTTATTACAATGACAACTATTAATTTTTGTATTTGATTAGTTTCTTGATTATTAGCCGCGTTAAGTTTTATTCGTAAAGTGATGAACTTATCTATTGGAATTATGTATGTATTACCGGAATATTGTCTAGAATATGATATCGCTACAATTTTTGCTAGACAACGATATGTAAGCTTATAAGTACGTGTGATCATTATACTTTTAAATATGATCATTGTAAGTTTGATAAGTTTGATAATTAAAAATACGTATGAGTATAAGAATATAAAATTATACTACGCTACTATTTTTATTTTTTCTACTATTCTTCTTTATATATTGCTCATCTCCTTGTAGAGACAAAGTATAAATAAGTAGCATATAGAATACTGCATTTCTTAAGGGTAGAGGGTACTATTTGTAAATTATATATAAAATCGGTGGTATTTTGTTTTATTTTTTTAAATTAAACAAAATTTTATTAAGAAAACTGTTTTTATATTTCTAAATAAAATTGTAGAGTAGGTTTTTCTGATTCTAACAATAACAAAATTATTAAATTAGGATTAAAACTCAGTGAGACATAATTATTTTGAAGTTCAGATAGTGTTAATTGTTTACAAAGATTATATGATATCAGCCAATCAGAATCAGGCATTTTGTACTATCTAGAAAATTTTGAGGCATTCTAGAAAAACTTTACAATATATGCAAGTATGTTTTTTTAAATTAATATCACCCTAAAGTTTGACTATTTATAAATAGGGGTTTGTATCTACAAGCTATAAAATTTTGGTAAAAATTAATTGTGGCTTTAAAAAATTTTATCAGTAACATATTTTTGTTACCTATATAAAGTTCTAATTAGGGGTTTGCAAATACCATGCTGGGCATATAGGCATTATGCCAGGTACTAGGTGTCTCATACCATACCTATACCTATAGGTATAAAATATTAGACACTATTGTAGACATGGGTACAAAGTGTCAGGCACCATTAAAGATATGGGCACAAAGTGCTAAGCACTAGCAAAGGCATAGGCACAAAGTACTAGACACAAGATGCCAGACACAGGTGCTGGGCAAAGTACTAGATATAATTAAATAATAAATACTAAATTTCTGTGTCTGTGCTCATGCCCATACCAAGTTTTTTGTGCTGTGCCTATGCTTATGCCAATTATATATATATATATTTATGCCCATGCCTGAGCTTTTATACCTGTGCCCATATCTATATCTGAGGTTTTATGCCTATGCCTATGCCCAGACCTTTTATTAGACACAGGCATATACCTGGGTTGCAGACCCCTAGTTCTAATTTACTATGCAGATTATATGAAAATGATCGATATTACTCTCTATCTTAAATTATTAACATCAATGAAATATGTATAAAATAAATTTATTAGAATTAATATGTTTGTAATTATGATTACTGTAGTCATATTTTATAATATTCAAGATTAAGTAATCAAAATTTCTTGCAAAATTAATCTTACCCTAACCTTAACTATTGCCAAAATTCTAAATTAATGCCAAAATCTAATATTGAAACTTTAAATATCTTAATATATACTAAAATTTAAATCATATAAAGTTAGTATATACAAATATTTGTATATATTAACTTAGTTTAGGATTTTTACATTGGTTTAGAATTTCTGCATTGATTTGAGATTTTAGTATTAATTTGTGATTTTGATATTGGTTTGAAATTTGGGTTTTTAGTTTAGGATTTAGGGTTTGAATTAAGTAAAAAATTTCTAATCTGATACTAGCTAATATTATATAATTTAAATATAAAAAGTTTAGAAAGGTTTGAGTTTCAGTTTTCACCTTTAGCTACAAGATTATATTTTATAAAAAAGTTTATTTTGATAGTTATATTATAGCAATCTATAGTTATAAAACAATTAACCCTTCATTAAAATTTTCTTATTTCTATACTAGCCTTATTGCTACATTTAAATAGTCTTATATCAGATAATTCATATTTTACATGTATAAATAGTAAATAGAATTGAGTTTTTATATTAATTTATTATTATACCTTCTTTTTTTTATTATATTACAGAGTTGTAAGCTATATTAGCTATGGAGATTTGGTTATAAACTATCACAGATAGAGTTAGTAGCTATTTGCAAAAGCAAATAACGAATGAAAAGAGTTAGTAACTACTAGAAAGTATACTAATCTGACTAGTATTGTTAGTTAAAACCTATAAGGTTTGCTACTGATACATCATATTTGTTGTTATTTAACTTATTATTACTAGATACTATCTCATTATTATTAGATAATGATGCCAAATTATGCTTGTTAATTGCATTAAATTATATTTTTAAGTTAATAGTTTTTTTAAAAAAATTCTTCAAATTATTATATTAGTCATATGATATATCATATCTAAATTTATATATATATAAACTTATAGCAAAAATATATATAATTATATATAAACTTTATTGTAATAATATTTTTTCTTTACATATTAACTTAAAAAGGAGAATAAAATATATTTTAAGCTAAATTAAAATTTTGCAATTTTGATACAATTTGAAAATATAATTTTGTAAAAAGAAAAAATTTAGTAGTTTTAAAGTAAAAATTATATATAAAATTATATTTTGAACAATTTTAGTTAGGAAGTAAAAAAGAGTTATCTTAGTAAAAAAAATTTTTATATACTAATATTAAAATTTTTAGTTTTTTATATAAATTTTTTTTTTCTACTTAGATAATCTA